CAAATAGATTTTTCATCATTTTTTGTCATTTTCCGTTGCGTACACACGGCGTATGTGTGATGAACAGTTTTTGCACTCTCTTTTCTCTCGCTCTCTTTTTTTCCCGTGTGTTTTTCCTGCTTTCCCTTCTGAAATTTCAATAATAACATTTGTATGAAGCTGTTTATGTCCTGGCGGCCGAGGGAACCGTTGTTCTGCGGTTGCCTGCCGTTGACAATGTGGATGACAATCATGTCACGTCACGGATAAGGTGCTTTGGGCCCCTCTCTATACTTTAGCACCCATCATATATTACTTTGGCCGGGCTCGTGGTGCTTAACAGGCAACTCGCGTTTGCCTTTTGTTTGCTGCCTTATTTTTATTATATTTATGCTGCTGCAGCTCCCCACACACATGTCAGCAAAAATCGTTTACGCTTCATTGTTTTTACTCAATTTTGTTGATTTTTTCCCGCTCACTTGCCTGCCTCCCCCACTTTCCTTTTTTCTTCTTTTTTTTGCCTTCCTTTCTTTTGTGGGAGGTCGGCTCTTTTATTTGTGCTCCACATCTGCGCTCATCCGCCAAAAGTTCTCTATGCAAAGTATAAATCTGAATAAATTGAAAAGTGCCACCAGGAAAAAAGCAAATATGAAATAGCCTCACTTTGAGTGCTTAACGCTGGCTTCAAAGAGCTCAAAATCGTTGCCCATTGCACGAGAACAAAAAATACATATATGATCGAAAATGATTAAGGCTCGAAAAAGGCTGACTAAGGATTTTTATCGATTGAACGGACCGAAGTTCCCAATTCCCATTCATATATGCATGGGCCAGCTTAGTTTTAAGTCTATTTCTAATCAAATTTTTTGGCGAATAAAGTTTGCCCTTTCCACAAACATAATACGCCGGCATTCCATTGCCCCAAAAGTTGGCTACACATTTTCCAATTCACTTTGCAAGTCCCTAAATTGAACGCTTAGCGTGTGCATGTGTAAATAAAGTTGTTTGATGATTTATGAGTGGGTGGAAAAAGGTAAGACTTAGCTTTGTTTTTCTAATGGAAGATCGTAAATTTAAATACATAAATATGCAAAAGCAATTTATGGTGCGAACATTCCATAAACAAAACAACAACTCATAGGTTATGAAAATATTATAATAATGCTTTGCATATTTTGTATTCAATGCAATTTTTAAACCATTTAATGGTGAATTGATAAACGGGTTAAAAGTGTACAATTCAAAATTTAATTATTTGAATAATGAAATTCACAAAATACATGCTTATTAACCAAAGGAATGCATAAATAGAGAAAGCTTTGCTTCCACTCTTCGCAAAAACATTTTTTGCCAGGGAATTAAATTTAAACCAAAGCTGAGTTTGAATGACTTTCAATTAAATTATGAAATCTTTTGCCCATATACCGATAAAAACCTGGGCCGGAAACAAATTTAAGTGAAAGCAACTTAACCTAATGAGGCATTTAACTGCCGTTCAACAATGTCAGCAAGCTCACATAATCCACCGGGCTTCACAAACACAAAAGTAAGAGGAAGTTCAGCAACAACAATGACTGTAATGTGCCACTTGAGTGCCTCGAGCCAACCGGCAGGCCAGCCAGCAAAAATCTCAGAACAAACATTAATTACACAAGGATTCTCGCCCAGACACAAACTACCGTTGACTTTAATATTTATAGTCTCCTCCTCTCCGCTGGCAGGAAAAATTTGGTGCTTTAATAAATAACTGACGGGAAACAAAAAACAACAACAACAAAAAAAAAATAAAAATGAACACAAAATATATGCAGAGCGGAGAGTCGAGAAAGAAAATTGAGCAGCAAGGAGACGCTGGAAATATGCGCCCACGCATAATTATATGAAAATTCGCAATAATTATAAATAATGCAAAAAGCGCTCAAAATGCCAACAGAGAAACACTCGCCACTTCCGACAACGTCGCCACCTGATGGCGGCGACATCATTATCATGATTGTCATCATCATCAGGGGAAAACATCATCAAGTGCCACGCCCACCATCCTACTTAACCACTACGAATTTCCGCTTCCGCGAAGGCGTCAGCGTTAAATTAAATCAGCAACAAAATATTCTATGCAAATTCGAAATGTAACGCTTTCTGTCCTGCCAATCCAATAAAAAAAAGTCTTTTTGGCTCACGATTTTCTTTTCGTTCTGTTTTTCTATGCATTTCCACAATTTTACCGTTATCGACCAGCAATTAGAGAGCTGACAAAATGTAAGTGCATAAACCTGTTCAAGTAGCTAAAAGTTGCATTCCCTGGATTTTCTCGTCCATGGAAATTGGTTCTAGGGTGAAAGTTTTCGATTGAGTGGTTTGAAGGTGTTCATGGAGTATACAGTTTTGATTAAATCAATTTAAGTACCACCGTTTCCAATGAAAACTATAAAGCCTTGCTAAAAACATTAACTAAAAGCTTAGGATTTACAATAATCATATTGGGAAAAATTTGTTTTATGACTTTAAAATTTCCAACACCTTGCCAGATTAAATCGTAAACACAAATATTTAAATAACCCAATGAGAAAGCTAAAACCATTTAGCTGGAAATGTATTCAATTTTGTAATCAAAATCTATAAATACAATATGCCTCGGCGTTTTGATTTTAATTTTAAATTCCGCCTAAAAATTTCCCGCAATTTATTTTTGTATAAATTATCTGTCAAAGTCATGCTAAAATGTGTATGTTTTTCGTATTTTCATCGCTCAACCCTAATTTATTTTGGGGAAAAATGAAAACGAGTTGTTCCCTCATCTGTCAGGTTCAGAAACGAAATGAACAGGAAAAAAACAACAGTTTTGTTATGTGAAAAAACAATTGGAGCTCGACGACCTGGTCAGCTCATCGAATGGTTGGTTTATTTGCCATCGATGGCTAAAATTGTATTTACGAACAAATATGGTAGCGACATTGGCCGGGAGCAGAGATTTTGTGGGCTTAGCAGTGCGGGACCCGCAATAAAATACCCATAATTCCACATGCAGAGATTGCAGATGGCGGGCCAAGCAACCCACTCCCACTACCCACTCCAAACTTATTCTGCACCGCTGGCCCGGTTAATGTTTACATTTTATTATGCTAAACTAAAACCAACAGTTTTATGCGATTCTTTTTTATGGGTTTAATGCGCTCCACGGAATCGTGGTTATCCAGTTGTTTTACGGCGGTCGCTACCTTTTGCGGCAGAGCTGTAGAGCTGTGGATATTCTTTATCGTTATCGTTTCATTGGTCTGTCGATTGAAATTGAAAATCTTATCATAAAATCATGTCGTGACTTGGAAAATGGTAATGGGGCTGACTGCAGCAAAACGAATCTTTATTTTATTTGCCGTTTATATTGGAGATTTATTAGACGGGGCATATTTCTTCAAGTGGCCCATAACGACTTTATTGCGTGATGGCTGGGCAAAACTGTCAATAGCTGGGCGATGGATGGAGATCCTCCTCCTGCTCCTGCTGCTCCTGCTGCCCCCACTGCCGCCTCCCCCACATTTAACAGCTCATCGGGCAAACGAACAGCAGTCGGAGCAGGGAAAAGCACTAAAAACCCTGGCAATCAGTGGAGCATAATTTGTACAACAATTTCCGCTGCAGACCGAGTCCTCAAACCGGGATTACGGTTCGGCTTCGCCTTCCTTGGTATCTGTGTTTCGGTGTGGTCAAAAGTCAAAAGTCCGTTGAACCCCGGCGAAGCGTAAATGTTTTTCCCGGCCCTCTTCTGGTTTTTCCTTTGGAGTTCCGTTTTTCCTTTCCAATGATTCAATAACACGTGTTAGTCGGCCCACAGCCAGAGAAAAAAAAATACAAGAAGCAAAGAAACAAGAGCGAAACAACCTCCTCGACGGCTGATTAGAGCAATTTCAATTTTCACGCGGACATTGTCGTTTTTCGTTGCCTCTGGCTTTTTGCATCGTCAGTCCTTTGGGCACGAAGGTCATTCAATTTGATTAAGCAATATTTTCGTTTGTTTGGGATGATTTAGCAGGAAAGTTATGTGTATGTGGGCGCACGAACCGTGACAGGTCCAACATTCCACTGTCATGCTCGTCTCTCTTTTTCTGACAATTTGGGTTTGGGGGAACCCTTAGTCATCCATTAACCCATTGTTTGGGTTTAAGGACTCAAATGGCAGCCAAAGGCTCGTGGAAATACTTTATAAATTTTGTATAAACATTATTTGCTGATGAAAAAGGTTTTTGTTTTTTAAACTAAAGTGTTTCTTTAGCGCAGAGAATTTAAGTTTTCATTATTCGGGTTGAATAAGTAATATAAATTTTTAAATAATGTATAAACAACTGCTGTAAAAAAAAGTTAGACTATTTTCTCACTCTTAATTTAATATTAATTGCCTCTTTGGATGTATCTCGTAACAAACTGTTTTTATATCTACACCTGACAGGAAAATTTATTTAAGTTTTAATTATAAACTTTACTTTTGCCGTGTTTGTTGGCCCAAATAAAATAAATTGGTTGGCCCATTTGCAACTTTCTGCATTTCCGTCTTATCCAACTTATCCTGAACCCAATAAACTCTGATTTTCAACCGCATCAAAGTTTCTGCCTGCTTGTAATGCAAACTGTATCTTAACATCTGCAGTTCTTGCCGAGTGTGAACTCTCACAAAAGCTTTTCAATCTCGAATTCATTTGCTTGAAATCGAATAAGCAGACTTGGAGAATCGCAGGAGGAGAAACAGAGAATCGAGTAGTGAGATAAGAGAAACGAGGTTCGGGACTCAAGATACAAGCGAAGAGGAAACAAGCACTTCATAATGAAATGAAATCTTATCACATTTCAGCTTGATTGCAGTCTACCCGCAATATTGTTGCCTTCCTGCCGAAGCTCAGGAAAAGTGGGAAAAGTGTGGAAAGGGCGGAAAACAAACTTGCAACTTTGGCAACAAGCTGCGCGCTGCGAGCCGAATTCAATTGCATATACTTTGGCAATGCGCCATGGCGTCTTCGAGTTGCACTCACCTGTCGTGGGATTGTGTCGTCCTGCGGCCGCCAGACTAAGATTGCGTGGCAGGGTCATGCAGTCACTGCCGGTGGATCCACCTCCTCCTCCGACGCCGCCGCCACCACCACCACCACCAGCACCACCTCCCAGGCCAGGACCCACTGCGGTGCTGGTGAGCAGGACATTGCCGCGACTGTCGACGAGGGCGGTGCCGCCGCCCGCCAAATTCAAGGCGGCCGTGTTGCGAGCGTAATTCAAAGTGGCCGCGTGATGGAGTCCGCCCGACTTGGGCAGCGTCATCATGCCGGGATTGTAGCTCACACTGCTGCCGGAGACCACCACGGAGGCGCCACCGGAAACGGAACCCCCGCCCCCACCGGCCCCGCCCCCCGCTGACCCGGAGCCGCCTCTTCCGAAGGTTTGCGTGCCGGTCATTCCCTTGATTTGCATGTGCTCCCTTTGCTGCTGCTGCTGCTGCTGATGTTGCTGCTGCTGCTGTTGCTGCTGCTGCTGCTTGGCACTGGTGCTGTAGGTGACGTTGCCCAGGCTGTCTGTGGTCACCTTTGACCCCTCGATCCCGCCGTTGTTGAGGGCGCCGCCGCTGCCACCGCCCACCTGCTGCTGCATACCTGCCAGAGAGGAAATTACCATTGTTTGAATTAAGTCTAACAGAAGAACCTAGTTTTGACATTCTAGAAATCGAAAACAAAAATGCTATCCATAAAACTTCTATAAATGTTATTTACAATTAGTGAGTTATTTAGTTTTTTAGACCCTAAATTATCCAATTTTGAGCAAATCATATTAATAAGATAATTAAATTGTGCATTGAAAAGGATTATAAAGTTATTGACAACATCCGAGTAAGTCGAAAATAAGTAAGTTCATTTTGATTTATAATTTACAAAATAATCTTTAAAAAGGTTAAATTCGTTTCTTGAAAGCGTTTTAAACAAAACGTTTTCCTCTTTTAAATAGTTATTTAATGTACATTTATTGTAGAGCACACAATATAAATGTTTTTTCTTTCTCATGATTGTTTCGTGGAATATTGTACTCTTGAAAACTCTTGCAACATACTTAAAGTTCCTGGCGAGTGCATTTCTCTTGGGGCCAAGTTGCCTTCACCTACCTGTGTTGGAGCAGATGTGCGGTGGCGGTGGCTTGACGTCGTTGGCCGCCGCTGCAGCCGCGGCCGCCGCAGCCTGGAGGAGCATCGCCGCCTGGCCGGCCTGGTCCTGATGGCTCTCCACGTCCACGATGACGTTGGCCGAGCTCTGCGAGTGACCCATGTGGTAGTGGGCGTGCTTGATGGGCTCCGGGGGTACGGGACCTGCTGGTGCAGGCTGCGCTGCTGGTACTGCTTCTGCAGGGTCTTCACCTCCAGTCGCGTCTTGTCCCGCTGATAGTAGACGCCGGCGAAAATCAGGACATTAAGTATGAGCAGGCTGCAGCCAATGGCAATCGTGACGCTGAGGGCCGTCGAATATGCCGCGTAGCCTGCCGCCTCAAAGCCAGAGGCCAAAGTATCCGAGGAGGCATTTGCCAGAGTTGTGGGAGCGAAGACACCTCCTCCACCGGAGTAATTTCCTCCGATGGGAATGCAGGTGGTGTACATGTTGTTCGGCTCCACGGTGGTAACTGAAACGAGAAGTGGGTTGCATATTAATCTCCGCGGGCTGGCTGTAGTTCATTTCGTTCACAGGGGGTCGAAAGCGAGTGCACGGGTCGTATGAGTAATGTCCACTGCCCGGCGAAACAATTTATACCCGTGAAAATCGGAGATCGGGTCGAAATATTGTTTCTGTTTCGTATCTTCTGACACACTTTAATGTAAAGCACAAATTGCCCCAGGTAACTTGAAGTTGTTTAAAATTGAAGTTTAATTAAAAACAACTTAATTCGCTTAGCACCTAACAAAAGGAAATCTTTGCCTGCAGCTGTCGTGTAATTCTGTTAAATGCCTTTGTCTTGTTTGTTTTTGTTCAACGGTATGTGTTGCCTTTTGTGCTGTCAGGAAAATTAGCTACAATGAAATCGATGAATAAACTGATGCAACTGCATAAAAGAAAGCAAACAACAGGTCAAATTATATTATCAAGTTTAATTAAATGTGCGAAACTCGCTGAAATTTTAGAAAATGCCTTTTGAATGTCGGCTTTAAGTTATGCAGGGCGCTTCCAAATAAATACATTTTTTCAATTATATTTTAAGTTTGGTTAATGATTAATAAGTTTGGAGTATTCGGTATTTATATATTTAAGTTTATATCCCCTTTTAGGAATTATATCTGTCCTTGTGATTTACATAAAAGTTATTAAGTTCTACTATTATTAAGTTCAATATTTGTGCAAGTAATGGATGGAGCTTGCATTCGGATTAGCAGGCTTAGGGGCTTTTGTGCCGCAATCCTTCACGGCGCTGGCTCCTTTGTCTCAAATGTCCAGAATACGGAATTATTTCCATTTCCTGTAGGAGCGCTGGAATATTTCGCGCTCCACTTGTCCGCCATTGTATTTGCGAAGGTATTCGAAAGCGACTGGAGGAGTTGGAAGAGCAAATGTCTGTGAAAACAAATGGGTTTCTCGCTGCCTTTGAAGCCCTGGGCCGGGCTCCCCTTGAAAATGTATTTGTCATTGTGCTGGAAGTGTCCTGGTGTCCTGGCATTGTTCTGCAGTCCCCTCAAGTGCTTCCTACACTTGGCATTGTTTTGTATTTGTATCAAGTGTGGGTAAACGAATGTCGTGTGTCTGCAAAGTTTCGCCTTTCAATTTTCTGCATATCAAACAATTTCGCCAAAGTTACTCGTCTCAAGATTAAAGACTTGTGCACGTATTTTGCATAAATATTTCCCAAATAAATCTCTCTTGATAATCGAAAGAGGAGTGGCAAAACTGGGGCCATATGCCGCCACCTAAGTCGGGTGTCAATAATCGTGTGAAGATTTGCAGCTGCCATTCAACCACTTGCTGCTTTGTCTAAGAGCTTTTTCAATTTGCATTCAAGTGTGGCATTTAATTTACTCAAGATTGTTTGGTCGGAAAAGCATCAGGTGAGCTCGGTCTCGAACTTTTTTGCTCTCGGGCAAGGCAATTCAATTTGGAATTATCCCCTATCTATACATAATAATTTCTTGCCAACTTTGTCCATCAATCATGGCGGCAAAGTCGGCCGCTCTCAGGCTCAAAAACTCTCAGCCTGTCACTTGAGCTCACTTGGGAACCTGCTTGAGACCCTTTTTTCCTTCCTTTTTTTTTTAGCGTGGGTGGACAACCCTTTTGCTAAATTGCATAACCAGATAAATTGTGATCCCCCCATCAGCAGATCCGACCCTGGCCACTAAGCTCTTTATCATTCCGCCCCATTTTGCATTTAATTTTGCAAGTACAAATACTTTTCAGTTGGTGTGCAGCATTTGGAATTTCCCCATTTCCCTCTTGTTTTTAATTCCTTTTTATTTTTATTTTTATTCCCATTTCCATTTCGCCCTTCCAAGGGCCGCATGCGTTCAAGGACCCCTGATAATTATGTTACGAGGACACATGGCCCCCAGCTTGAGGCAGACAGATAACCAAAAAGGCAGGGGGCAAAAGCAATGCTTAATGTGGCTTTAATTAGTGGAATCACAAAAAAAAAAAAGGCCAAAACGAAAATAATAAGAACGTAGGAAAGATGCAGGGCAAGCCAACACCATGCCATAAAATCAAACCGAAAGCCCTGGCTGCCTTTTTGTGCCACGAAAGCGAAAAATATTTGAGGCCGAAATGTCCTTGCATAAATTAGATATTAGCCGGGGCAACGGCATCAGCTGAAGCTGAAGCTGCCATTCTGCGAAGGACACTCTGGCATTTATTAAGTGAACCATTTCAATTTTCACTGATAGTTTGACATTTCCCAGCTTAATCAGCCAGGCTTCCCCGAGAAAAAAAAAACAACGAATCGCAGGAATTATGCAAATGATCGGAGGGCAAAATGGCGAGGGATTTTCGCAGTAGGCTTTCGGCTAAGTCTGGTTCCACATGTTGCGTTATCTCCATCTCTTTGCCAAATAACTCAGGTGAGCCGACTCCTGCCTGGTTTTCCTTTCTATTTCCATTTTTCCCAGGAATCCAGGTCAGGCAAAGTAGCACAGAGTTGATTTTGTGTGTGTGCCGTAGGATGTGGTTTGTTTGTTTTTTTTTTATTCTGCAAAACTGGTAACCAGAGCTTAGGAAGACGCAGGAAACTTGATGATGGGATAAACGGCATTGAAAGCGTACTCAGTGGGATTGAAAATGAGGAAGACTTCTAAGACTGCGAATCTGTTAAAGCAGACGTAATTATTGAGTGGTTTTGCTATACATCCGAACCTAAGCCAAACAACTTTACGATTTGAATTTGTGGTAAGAAATCAACAGCAATTTTGTTAACGACTAAATTAATGGGTACAGCGATTTTAGAATTAATCACCATGTGGAATGCTTTTGAAAATATATTTAATGGCTTTAAGACTGCAAGAGAAGATTAATGAGTGAAACTATATAAATTGAAAACCAATCTATACAAATGAATTTGGTATTGCAAAAGCGATTAACAATATTTGTGATTTTACCAAATTTACTATTAATCTCTTTTTGAAAATATAATATATTTAAATTATATTCAATTTTGAGTCCCATTAAGCTAGAATATTCGGGCACCATACATCTTGGCATCCTTAGCCGGTGTCAGCTCCTTTGATGAAAAGACACTTGACGTTTTCGTCGAAAGCACTCAACAAAAAAACCATACCCATGAAAAACAGAAATTTTCAAGTACTTCAGCACATCGCCAGCCCGACTTAAACTTCTTGCCGAAAACTTGGAATATGTATGCTCTCTCCGTTTTTTAGTTTTGCACGTCTTTCGATTTGTGTTTTGTTGCGGCTGCTTTGTTTACGGAGAAGACTCTCGTTTGGCTTGTGGGTTTTTTGGCTTTTAGCAGCATATCTCTGTCGCCCCAATTCGGCCAAGTTGAACAGCCAACGGCTGAGGTGGCGACGTCGTCGATGACAGGGGAGGTGCGGGAAAAACTGGAGAAGGAGGCAAGACAAGGCGGCACAGTTGGCAAAGTCAACGCTTAAATGAAAAGCATGTCAAAGTATGTCGAGTCCATATGACACTGTGACTCGGTCGCTGCCTCGCAGCGAGTCTGGGGTTTTTCGGTGGCTCTCCAATCTCCAGAGATTTTCCTTCACCCCCGCACCTCCCCTATTTTTTCCTCCCTGCCGCCCACAACACCCTCGAATTTCCCAGCTAGTGCCGGGTGTTTTCTGTGGCCTGGCTGCGTCGTCGACGACTGTCAACCTGACAGCTGTTTGTCGCATTTCAGGCATTTTATCATCTTCTACTTCCACTTTTTTGCCCCCCACCCCTCTACACTCCACACTCCAGTTCGCTTTTATCTACCGCTCATCGCTCTCATCTCCATCTCTAGTTTTTTGCTTCTGGTCTTGGCCGGTTTGCAAGTTTGTTTTGATGGCCGGATTTAGTTTTGCAGCATTCGGAGCCCCTGCACTAATTGAAATGAACATTTGTTGTCTGTGGTCCAACACCCCCTCATCAGCATCCAACATTAGCCACCGCAAGCCGCCCTTTGACCTCCACCCATTCGGCAGTTTGTTTGTTTGGGTAACAGATTAGTCGTATGTCTGCCAAAACCCGAACTGAAGTGATTAAATTTAAACGCAGCTTGTTTTTAACGGAAGTAAAGGCTAACCGGAGGAAACTGGGATTTAATATTAAATAGGTTTGTTTTATCTTGAACTTTTTATGTAATTTCTAGGAACTAAACTACAATCTTTAGAGTATAGTTCATCCCTAATAAACTGTAAGCATGAAGTGATTTGAATGAACTAAACTTTTATCGGTTTGTATGGCTCTTTCTCTGAAGTAAAACAAATTTCTTTCTTTGTTTCTAAGAAGCAAACAATTTAATTGCAGTGCCAACAGCATGATTTAGACATTTAATCTAAAGACTCCTCCATCTCTCGACCGACCAGAGTCAACATTACAATAATTTTTAATTTACCCGGTTCCCAAGCGAAAGCGTTCTCGACTGCCACGCCCCCGACGACGCCCCTGCCCCCAAGAGCTAATGCATTTTGCATTGGCCAACTTGGCAAAGTGCGGGATATAGAAAATGGCGGGGGCATTTAGTAGCTTGGCTGGGGGAAAGTGGAAAGTTTGCCTGAAATTGACTGTCTTAGTTTTGACTTTGAGATAAGCCAGTGTCGGTGGAAAAGTGGTAGCAGTTGCTATGGCTTGAAACAAGGCCACGCCCACAAGGCAATGGTCCGCCCCCCAGAAACGCCGCACATAAGCATTTGATGTTTGAGTTGGATTTCCATCCGTTCCCCTTGCCGCCAGTGAAATGCAGCTGCAGTTGCCCCAGCTGCGGGGACAGTTTATTAAAAATGGCAAAAACATAAAGAAAACGAGGAAAAAACAAGCAGCAAAGTTTGCTGTTAATTTAGAGTAAGTGTTGAAAAAGTTTCCGCCAACGAGTTTTACATAAACTGGTTTAATGACTTCCCATCCGAGAGCGAGAACGAGAAATGGGAGGGAAGGGGGTGGGGGCAAGTGCATTAAAATTATGCGCTATTTACATTTGTGGCATCTTAGACAGAAAAGACCCTCTCTCTTTCATCCGAAACCCTCCTTGCAGTCGGGTGAATGTAAACGAGAAATTTGTGCCACAGACAGTTTGGGTTGGGAAATGACGAAGGGGCAAGGGGAAAGGGGTAAGGGGATGTTTGAAAAAAGGTTACACACACTTAATGCTTATAGAGATTACAGTTGAGTGCATTTCCAAAAGTCAGCACTCGACACAATATAAATTCAAAAGCCAAACCGTATCCCGGGCCGGACGCAATTTCAATAAGCAGAGAGAGCCCCAGCTGGAGGTCCAAGTTCGGGGCTGGGTCAAATGGAAATGTCATGCCGGCTTGGGACAGAATGGCCCCACAAAAATGCCAACTTTGCAATTTACTTGCTGCGAGACCACAAAGTGAAGTAAACACTGACTAGGCCGAGGCCAACGTCAAGAGTAAACAGAAATCTTTGCTGCCGAAAGTGTTGATTTTCAACTCACTCCCCGGCAAACAAACCTTTCGCAAAAAAAGAGGCAAAAAAAATGGAAGAGGAGCCAAATAAATAGAACGAGTTTTCTCCTTTTGAATTTGGCTTTATTTGAAAGGGGGACCCCACATGGCTATTCGGAATATATTTCATCTGCCGTCGAGTTATTAAACAAATGCGCACATGTGCGTACGAATTTGTGGCCTCATCCTAAATATTTGGCTTTGGATCTCAAACAGCTTGATCATCAAGGCACATACGTGGCGTATGAGTAATATTGGTAAAACAAACTGAATAACCGAATGTTTGAGGCCAGCTATGGAAAGCAGTTATGATGTGCATATTTGATTGGCTTACTTTAGAGTAAAGTATGATTAATGAAATTGGAAGGCCTATTGATTACTTATTTCGTTGATTACCTAAAAACATATATCGCAATAAAATGTCAAAAAATAAATCGAAAAGGAGTATTTAGCCCTATTCTAATTTGTCGGACTTACGCAGAATCTGCAATTAAATAAGTCAAGCCCAAAGGCCAGTGAAGTGTCCTTTTTGCTTGGCCTTTGTCAAGCGTATTAAACGACAACTGCAGACTGTGCAAAGGGCCAAAAGGGACGAGGCCGAAATACAATCTACAAAGGCGATAGGCCTTATTCCTTTGGGCTCGGTTTGCCGTTTTGTGCCGGCTTATTTGTTGTTTTTAGGCATTTAAGTGACAGCGACAAGCCGCAGCGAGCGTATGAATGCCTGTCTGTGTTTGTTTTGTGGGTTGGGTGAAAGTGGAGGGGAGGCTGAGGTTGAGGGTTTTTGCAGGCTACTTACCGCCCAATATCCCGTTCAAATAGGCGGAGGCGTTCAGTCCACGACCCTTCTTCATCATCAATTGCTCATCGATGAGCAGGAGTCGCGATGACGACGACGACGACGATGAGGAGGATGAGGAGCCGGCCGCTCCGGCGGCGGCTGCTGTCGATATGCCAAACGGATCCGGTTTAACGGGTCCCTCGTACAGGTCCATATCGTCGTGATTGCGGAACAGATTGTGCCGGGCTATCACATCCTCCATCCCGGCGCGATGGAGCTCCGGTATCAGGCGCAGCCAAATCGAGAGTTGATGGGCCCGAAAGTGATTCTTAATGCGCGGCTTCATTCCTGGAATTTAAAGAGTATCCCGGTTAGTTCAAGTAAGTTGGGTGATAAAGCAGGAAAGGGGGGAAGTTCCAATGTAAACATCTTCATTTTCATTTCCATGTGACAGATACCAAAACACACACTCATCCACACACACACGGAACATGCATGCAAATAGCTCTAATGCTAAACTATTCCATTTGGCCGTTGCCTGGGCTGCTTTTGGGCCACTTTCGAGTCATTTGCATGCCAAAAAGGTGAGCGACAGACACTTGGCTCAATTGAGGCCAGACCTCCTCGGTTCTCCGGGTTGCAGGGCTCCACCCTCGGTTCCGAGACCTGATGTCTTGTTTACCTCGGCGGGTGAAAGCGACATAACTGTTTAATTTTTGATGCCCCACCTATTCCTGTAAGGACCTGCCTGGTGCACTTCAAGAAAATCCATATAAATAGTCCTTTTAAGCATTTGGTTAATTAAATAACATAAACTTATTAATTACACAAGTCTTCAAAAAAATCTTAATGATTGGGTCACCTATTTAGATTTACGAAATATAACCAAAAGAGTTAATTGTTATTAGGCTTTGTTAAACTAGAAATCATAAAGAGGAATATTTGATGATGATTTCTTGCAAATTATTGAAAAATATATGTCGTTTTCCGAGTGTAGCCAAATATGGTTTCTCCTATGCAGAACCGAGCCACAAATGACTGGAGTTTCATACCCCACATCTTTGAAGGAAAATCCTGGGGAAGTGGAAGTGGAAGTGGAAGTGAGCGCTTCCTCATATCTGCACGTATTTATAAATATCTGAAAAGTACCGAGAACGACTTTCAAATATTCAGAAAGCTCTTACACACCTTTGAGCTCTTATTCCCCGCCCAGGGAGGCATTCACGAGAAAATATGATTGCTGGGCAAAGGACCTCTGCACCTGCAATCATCAATCGCAAGTCGAAATCCGAAATCCAAATAAATATGGCACGCATTCTGCTCGCTGCATAATTCACGCAACAGAACTTTCATACAAGCTGGCTTTTACATAAGATATTCTTATAGTTCGATCTGAACATATATACATATAGTATGTTTGCCATATATATGTATGACAGGTGGCTTTGTATGCCGGAGATCCTTTGTGCGAGCTCCCCAACAAACATTATTTGATTTCGATTTCAGTTTGCAGGCGTATCAAATGAAAACTGTGTCCGCCACTCCACGGCGGAATCCTTTCAACTTGCTTATGTAAAGTGCAGGCGGTACTGTATAGAATGTCAGCTGTCGCTGTGTGTCGTTTCAATTAAAATCAAGCGAATAAAAAAGATATGTGGGGTGAAGATGGAGAACGTTGTACATGTGCGCAGATATATCTTTTGATACGTATCGTCCTTCAATGCTTACATCTGCGTAAAGTGCGTGTCGGCAGGGCTCCTCTCCCTTCCCCTTATTTTTTTGCACCTCTTAGCTCACTAAAAGTATAAAAAAGCCATTCTCGCGTGCACAATGTAAAGCAAATCCATTGCCATAACCTGTGCGTAATTTTCATAAAGCGTTAAGCGCGCGTATCTGTCGCTATCCACGTGTGCGTGAGTGTAGGTGTGTGTGTGTGGGTGTAAAGCTTATTTGTGTGTGTCAAGTGGGTATATTGATTTTCAAGTATTGCAAGCATTTTTCTTTTACTTATTTTGCTCCTTCCTTTAAAAACATATTTTTACTGGGAAACTAAAAGTTTAAAATAAACTTAAATAATTACTCACTATTACAATTTATTTTAGATATCATAAATTTGAACCTATGTTATTTGAGTATGCAATCAATTTGGTCTAGTATGTTATTTCTTGAATGGGTTTACTTTAAATTTAAAACACAGTTTTTTTGTAATTGATTTGATTGGTTACAATTTTCATTTATTTATTTTTAAACAGTTAAGGGTATTTAATAATCGTAGCATTATGTAAATCAAATGTTCAACACCCTCTATCGGCTTTGTGAATTTTCCCATGTTCCTTGTCGCGTTCGGGCACAAAAGGTGTGAAAAATTTGAAATTAATAACATTTTCGTACATTTGACATGAAGCAACGGTGCCATTTTAACGCACACATAAAGCTTTATGCGCTGCCGCCCACTCAGATCCCCTCAGACCCCCTCAGCCCCCTTCAGTCCCCCAAGGATACAGGACCCCTCACTTCAGGTAATGTTTCTACAATCTCTGGGCGTTTTGATTGCCCTTCATCTACATCGTGGTTCTGCCGGTGCTTCACTGTACACCTACAGTCGCCCCGTGTGATGTTTTTTCCCACTCACATTTCGTTGAAGTACTTGTGTGTTAACTCCCTCGTTTTTCCTCTCCAATTTGTTGTTGTTAGCAAGCAAAGCATGCTGCCTTCTTTAAAATTCAAATTAAATTTGATTCTCCCTTTTTTAGCTGGCTGTGTGTGCTTAGGCTCTTCTCCTTTTTGGGGAAATTTGTAGCTTTTATTTGGCATGAATTCCATGAATTCTTTTTACTGCATGCCAAAGTAGCCATACAACATTTTGCAGCCGTTTTCGGGGTGAGCGTTTTATAAGAAATGGTTTTGTTGCTAAAGCCACTTGCATATTAACAAGCAACTCAAATTCCATTTAAAACATGGCCGTATTAAAAGAGAAAACACAAGCAAAGTTTCACACAGGTATCAAACTTTTAAATAGTTTTCCATTTCCATTTCTGAGCAACAGACAAACAAACTACCATTTCGTTAGAAGCTTACGCAAAGAATTTTCTTTGAGCCATTCGCACAAAGATAGAAAAATTGCAATCTCAGTGGGGGAACGGTAAAGTTTCTTCAGACTCACCTATTTCCAAATACTTTTGGTGCAGCGGATCATAATTTTCCCAGGTGATGCTGCGGAAGCGGTTGCGCTCCTTTGAAACCGGCAGCGACGAGTCCTGCCGATGATGTTCATTCGGATTCCTGAAAGAAAAAGGAAAATGTTCAAGATGCACTGTCACTAAATCGTTATGAAAACTTTAAGACTATTATTCTCATAGAAAATCATTTTACGGAGACATAGTGACCCAAATATGCAAATATAACACTTTGGAAAAATCCGTTTGGACACAAAAAATTATGCTAATAACAAAAAACTTTTTTTGTTTATCTTTTTTTAGTTCACCGATGCAATCTAATCTTTGCAATCAGGAATATTTTTCCAAGTGTTTACTGAAGCTCCTGTTTGTAGCAAAAAATACTTAAAACTTCTTCGAAGCCTTTCAAAAACTCTCATGTCGATGTTGATTTTGAGTGGCACTTTTCGTTCAGTGCATAAGTTAGTAAGACGTTTAAGTGGGGCTTAAAAGTGTCGAGCGGACAGCAGGTGTCCTAAGTCTGCTCAGGGACACTTTCGGAGCTCAAAGCTTCCCCAACTTACCCGGTGCGTGCAAAGTTGGTCCAGAATATCATCACCGCCTCGGACAGAGCCGTTTCCGATTTGGTGTAGTTCTGCGGAAAGTGGCTGAAACCATCGACCAGTGGGGCTCCGAAAATGTAGGGCAAGTCCTCGCCGTGCACGGTGCCCATCCTCTGGGGATAGTCGCCGTCCTTCGTCTGGTAATCGAACACATAGAAATAGCAGCGACCGGAGGGCTGAGTTGAGGTCCCCGCCGAAGTTGAGGCAGCTGCATTTGCTCCCGATGAGCCAGCAGGCGAGGATGAGCTGACAGGCGGCGGGGAATTGGCTGCCAGGATGTCACCTGCCCGGACAATTGGAGCCACGAACTGGGCATCCGAGAGAGCGGCCACGGCGGTGTCCCGCGTGTTGATCGGGTGCTGCGAGGTGCGATCCCAATCCGTGTACTCGTTGACGATCTGGGGGCGAAAGGATTTTCCAGCTCAGATTTGGTTTGCAAAAACAGTTTGTGTACCAACAAAAATTACACTTCAACTTTACTAACTAATTTTCTTTACTCGAGTTTTCAATAGTTATAAAAATATATATAAATGTATATAATTCGTGGAAGAATTATAAGAGAAATAAAAAAAAATATTCTATTGAATCATTTTGATTTATAAAGAGTATTAACGCAAAAATTGTAATTTGAGATTTCTAGTTACTTGTGCCTACAATGAAAAAGGGAAAATGATTTTACATTTCATTGAGACTAAAGCATAAAGTTAAATATCCCCTGAATTGCAAATTAAAATTCGAAATATATACAAGTCAGAAAAAATAATAATGAATATTAATTAAAATTTTTAAACCGTTATTAAGTTTCCAAATGATGCACCGATTATTCTTGTCTTGTTTTATTTTAAAACACATTTCAAACAATGATTTTTCTTCGCTTCTTTTGGAGAGTGTAAAACAGAGAGGGGAATTTTAGATTTGCATTGGCTGCATGTGTGCCAAGTCAAATCCTGGCTGGATTACAAGCGGATTGCAACTGTTTGCTGTCCTTGTTTGCGGTGGCCATTCGCCACCGCAGAGCGAGCAGGAGGAGGAGTAGGAGGACCTGTTACCACCACTATGATTATTTCTACCCAGCATGTGTTCAAAAAATAAACGACCGCAAAATGCATCTGTAAAATCGATGTCATGCATAATTTAGAAACCCTATCATAAAGAATGGAACGAAAACCAAAAAAAAAAAAAAATGGAACAGAAACCGATTCTAAAAATTGTGCGCGGAATACATTTACATGGTTATTCGACTTGCATTTATTTTTGGATTACCATTGATTTTTGTTTTGAAAAGTTTGTTATTTTTAAGTTCGAACTCGAATGAATTATTAAAAGTATTTGATTTGTCATGATTAGCTTGTGGTTTCGATCGAAGCCTTTTTACTGCCTGCGAGTCACGCTGAACTGCACTGTGACCTATATAAATTGAGCTTTCTGAAGTATAAAGAGCGGGATTGCGCTGTGGTTATACAAAAGTATAATGAAGTAAAATAAATACGGACTTAAGCGCTATAATCGTGATATATGCCCTGGCAATTTACGACTTCTTGATAAATGCGAGTGTGCGTGTGAGTGTGTGAATGTATCTGTGCCCGGCACTTACACACGCACACATAAGCGCATTCAGGATGCGTGTGTGTTAATGCGACGAATGGTGACCGAGGCTGAGGTTCAGATACAGCTACAGCTACGGATTCAGATTCATATACAGATACAGATACAGCTACGGATACAGATACAGATACAGCTACCATCAACCAGCTACAGATTCAGATTCAGATTCAGTTCCAGTTTCAGACGTCGACTGGTGACGGTTGTCGTTGGATGCTTCTCTGTTTTCTCCGCTGCTGCTGTTTGCTGTGATTTGGGTTAAGTGCTGCTTGTGCGCTTTTAAGTAGGTACATGTGTGTGTGTCTGTGTGCGCGCACGTACGAGTGTGTGTGTGCCCGCGTGCAAGTGTGTGGGTGTGCGCCTATGTCCTTGCACACATTTGCCAAATAAAGCGTGTTAATGTTTTGGCAGCAATGGCGTGTTAACTGCCTTCCATTTCGCTCGCTTGCACAAAACAAAAATAAAAACAAAAAGCCGGCAAGAGAGCATAAAATAAATATATACAACGGCCAAATGTAAAAAAATGTTAAAAAGTTACAAATGCCCTGAAACATGAGACAAACATCTACACACACTGTGTGTGTGGGTGTGTGGGGTGTGTATGTCTGTTTGAGTGGAGAATGTTACCCATACGCAATGTGAAATTATAATTACACTCGCACATACTCAAACAGAGTACCAACATTTTAATTGACTTTTTTCAGTTGCAACCGTTGTTGCTGTTTGAGCTTTGGCTCTAGAAGTGTTTACTTTCAGCCAATTACCCTAGAGGAAATATGAACTTTTCCACTGCCCTCGCAAAAGTGGATTTAATCATTCTAATGCATTAGAATTGAAGGATACTTTTAAGGCGATAAAACAATTTAGGTCAGGGCCTCACTGTAAAGGAATCATTAGAAAAAAGAAAGCATTCACAAAAATAAAATTCATTATGCTTAGTTTGCATGCAAATGATTTATGATTTTTTAAGAATTCAGCGAAATGTAAAGTGTAAAAGAACCAGGGGAATTAAATTTGCATAAGCATCCATAAGTCTAGTCAATACTCAATTTGCATACAAAATTCCAAAGCAAAAGAAATGGAAAGAAAATAGATGATTCACTATGGCGAAACATATTTCTTTCATCCGCAAACCGTCTATAAAGTTTTAAGCAGAAACTTTTCAAGTTGAAAAGTAAGCTCCAAGATAAAGGCAATAATTAAGCTTTAACTGATGGCAGACTAGCGAACCACATAAAGTCATTTGGAGGGGAGATAAATCTGATGGCAAGATTAATGGCGCGACTTGGCAGACATCCCTTGCTCTCAATTTATATATATATATATATATAGATGTGGAAAAAAGTAAAAGTACTTACCGTATAGAATATCTCGTTGAGGTGATAATTGTAGGCATTGCGGACGTAGGTGCGGATAATTTTGTCGCGTCTCTCGCCCTCGAAACCATTTTGTATATCATGAGCACTGAAGCGCCAAATCGATTCGCCCGTAACGACGCCAAACAGGACGTCATAGTGACCGCCCATGTTTGCCGTTCCCGCACCACCGCCGCCAAAGTATCCACCGCCAAAGGGGGAGCCACCTCCCCCGCCACCGGAACCGCCTCCAGAACCACCACCACCGCCGGCGGACGACTGGAAGCCGGAGTCCGCTGACGAACGCCTCGAGTTGCGCGCCATTAAATCATCGATATCGAGATTGGAATGTCCGGGTCGTATGACAACGCCATCAACCTAAATTGAAATCGAGGAGGGAAAAGGAATCGCAAGTAAATGACAGGAGTAGTGGTCCAAACTCAAGGAGCGGCAAGCGGCGTAAGTAAGTAATAAAGTCCATTGAAGCGACGACCGAACAAAGGGAGCAAGTGCCACAAAAAGCGAAACCGATGGCTTTAAATGAGTGTCCTGTGCTGACTAAATCTTTTCTAAGATGGCTTTGAGTTTTTCAATAAAGCACAGCTCCTTTTGTTCGGCCAACTGATGGTCCTCTTTAACTTATAAGTAGATTTTAAATTTGAAATGAAATCGTGACTTTGAAAACCAATAAAGCTTTGTGGTGAATATTTTTAAGGCTTTAAAATTAATTAAATTATTTTGAATATGAACAAAACTCACCGAGGGCCCAAAGGAGGTAAGAAAGTTGGGAGCCTGAATATCAGCGGAATATAAATCCTCGAGTGGGACATCCCTTAGGCAGTCAACTATCTGCTCGTGGTGTCGATTGATGTCCTCGGGAATGGTGCAGTTCACCTCCTTGGCCAGCTTGATGGCGAATAGAACCGGATCCTCAACCAATGCCCAGGATGAATATGCAGACCCAGACATGAGAATAGCCCGATGGAAGAGACCTCGAACCATTGTGGGTGAGGTCATCAGGTAGTTTATACAGGCTGCACCCGTTCCATGACCCGCCAAGGTCACTGAGTTGGGATCCCCGCCGAACTTTTGGATATTCTGCTGGATCCAATGAAGCGCGGCCATCTGATCCATCAACCCATAGTTGGCCACTCTAGCATGAGCATGCGGATTGGGATTGGCGTTGAGGAAACCTGATAAGATAATATATAATAATACCATATATAATAGATAATATAAACAAAATTACTAAAAATCGATTAATTTGTAACCATTGCAGTTCTTTCTTGTAACAAAAAGTCATTTTTAAAAATCAAATAAAGTATTAAATTATTAAATTATTAAGAAATTTATAACAATTTTGTAATTTAAGTGCACTTCAGTTTATTTTTTGCCGCTGACTATTGTGCATATATTTTATTCATTGCTTACCCAATATCCCCAACCGGTAGTTGAGTGTCACCACCACCACCTCGCCGTAGCTCGCCAGGACACTGCCGTCGTAAGGATTTCCGCTGCTCCACTCGAAGGACTCGCCGTGTATGAACACAATCACCGGCAATTTCTTCTCATTGGCTCCGGCTGGCAAATGGTAAAAATACCAGCAAAAAAGAGTGAACAAAATCGTGTTAGTGTATCAGCCGTTGAAATCATGATACAAATATATTAGTTGTATTTTTTAGTCGAAACCTGTGATATCGCGTTTTTCCCTTTCAACACACCGCCAAGTGCCCGAGAGTGCTCATGACCCATTAAACGTTTCCGTTTGCGTGCAAAGCGGATTTCGCCGGCACTCCGGCGGAGGAATCGCTTCAGATTAGCGATTCCCCCGAATCCGGCTTGGCCCACGGATTGTGGGCTTAGTGGGGTGGCACTTGCGATAAGATTTGCGCAATGGTTACGTGAGCTCTAGGTTTTCTTTTGCGTAGAAATTATTGGCATTACGTGGCGTACGATTAATCTTAATTAATTGAATTTAAATGAGATTTATGTGCGGCTTTTTGTGTTCAAATTGTAGCTGCGAAGTATTTTCTGGGGATTCCTGCAGAGTGCCTTAATGTTTACTTCAGGGCTTACCGTTGACCGGCGAGAAGACATTCAGGTAGAGGCAGTCCTCGGACTGGTTCTCCAGAAAGGGCAGCAGTCTCTTCAAGTACTCCAGCCGACCCTTGGGCATCTTCTCCAGCGCCGCCGTCTCGTTTTGGATGTTGGGCATTCGCTGCGGACAGACGGGACTGTACTTGTCCGATATCCGAATGCCGTCCCAAGGCGCTGGTGCTCTTGTTGGACTAAACCTACAAATTTCGAATTATGACTTTAGATATCTTGAAGCTTAAAGATAGTTATAAATATTAACAATAAAAACTAAAGGAGGGTATTAATATAAAACTTTAAAACGTTGGTTCGCTTATTGCCTTCTTTATGAATACTATTGATATTTTTCAATATTTTATAATTCTATTTAAGTAATCATTGGGAAAAGCTTAATTTAGTAAACGAGATTTATATTTACACATATGAAAATAAAATCAATTGGAAATTAATTAATTATGTATTATAAATTAATTAATTAGGAAAAATTTCAATAAGTAAAGAGGATTTATATTATATTTACATTTATGAAAAAAATATTAATTGTAAATTTTTATTTTAAAATTTGATTTATTTTTATTTATTTAAGTTCCAAAGTAAATAAGAATTTTTCAACCCAATACCCCAGAATTTGTTAAATAATTTAAGCTTACAAACACAAGTGCAACTCTTCCCTCTACTTACCGATTTTGTTTGGTGGGAGGCGTTGCATATGGCACACCGAGGAAGACCTCCACGGAGCGCAGGAAGCGGAAGCTGTCCAGCGGCAGGATGAGTCCGTGCAGGCGGCCATAGCGCGTCTGGACGATTCGGTGGCCCAGGCGGGCGCCCTTGTAGATGTCCGCCGTGGAGGCTTGCGCACAGTGAAGCCAGCCAAGGAGGACTGTTGGAAGCAGCAGGAGCCGGAGCAACAGCAGCAGCTGACTTTCCCCCATCCTGGCACAGTGGAGCTTCGAGTTGCGCGACCTGACCGAGCTATCGTTGAACTGTCTTCACCTATTTCGATGTGGCTCTGGATTGACGCGATTTCTTTCTGGTCATTTAGACTATCTGTGCTGATGGGCTGGGTTAACGAGACTAGCTGCCAGCTGACTGGATTTCATCTTTTTATAGAATCTGGAAATATGTAACATGCCACTAATTAATAAGAGGTAGGAAAAATCCTTTTCACAATTTTGTACAAGCTTCTTCTCGAAATTCTCATTACATAATTTGTGCGTTTAATACAATAGCTTTCTATGATGTTGTCATTTTAAGTTTAAACTCTGTTTAAGTCGCCTTTTATCAATATTAATGTATGTCAGAAATATTTAAATAATAATATAATTATATTTTTAAAAGTACAATAATCCACATCCGTATGAATTCATATTACATTTTGCTATTTGCTTTATGTGACAGGATAAAAACAAACTACAGCACCAGGTGGTTATTATAAAATCTTTTGTGTTTGGCATATAAATTCAGATCCCAACTGTTGACTGATAACTAATTCAATTATATTTTACCGATGGCCGTGCAAACTAATTGGTCGTTTATTATCATGAATATGAAATGCAACCATAATGTATTTATTTTTCGTATTAAACCATTCGCTACAAGCTGAAACGGCAACGAATTAAATTTTATTTTTATCTGAACCGAGTTGGGAGGCCACATGAATAAACAAGGTCACCGGCACATTTTCCACATCCCCTGAACACTGAATAAGCAGCTGGTACCCTCAAAATGTATCTGTATCTGTACATTTATGTATCTGTATGGTATATGCACGCCTCAAGGTTACTTTACACATCCCTAACTATGCCAGCGCAATTTGTGTGCATTTTTAAGCTTTTGCTCTGCATTTATTTTCCCTTTTTTGGCATTACTCTGCTTATTTGTGTGCTGATATTTCGTTGTTCCTACGCTGACAATTCAAGTACGCACAGCGGGTGCTGCCTGCGAAACTAGCTCATTTGGATATGTACGCTTATTTGTGAAAAACGTATATATCTTCTTATATGTGCTGCTTTCTGAAATGTGAGCTGTTGCTACGAGCCAACCGTTGGGAAAACAACATCATGAATAGCAAAGCTAACTAGTTGCATGGGGAGTTTGTTTGAAAATGTCCATGTCTGAGTGCCAGTGTAGAAAGCATTTTTTGGACAAAAGAAATATCCATTTTATAAATTAAAAACAATAATGTATCAGTCAAGATGAATACAAACAAAACATAACAACAAAAATAAATTTTAACAAAAGGAACGCAAGAGGAATATAATAAACTTTAATTCCACTATGTTATTTTATATATTGCTTTATAATTCCTTTTATAACTTCCATTATCTTGCTTTGTACTAGAATGCAGTAGTTTAAAATTCATCATACCTTAGACAAATACTACAAAAGTAACTGAAACACATATTTTTTAAAAATGAGGCTAATGATGAACTTTTTGGATGCCCTACGAAAGGTGCGACTTAAGTTGTCGGTGGGAAATCTAGTAAACAGCAACCAGTTACCAAGAAGGTTGGCAGCACCTAGAATTGAAGATGGGGGAGCTAAGTCCATGGAAGACGAGGATCGGTTGATCAACAAGTCCAATGCGGATCTCGACAATAAAGAAGGGAAACAACCCGAACCGGAAATGCTGTGGCAGAACATCAAGAGAGTGCTGCTCATGTGTGGTGGTCAATCAAAACCAGGTGGCGTTGAGGATAAGAAGCGGTTGAAGGACTCCAGGAGACTGGTGGATGTACTGGAGGCCCAGCGGTTTGTTAGCGAGGTTTTCGCCGCCATGGAGGTGCCCAAACAGGCGGCCAGCGAAATGGCCGACGCCTTGATAGCCGCCGACTACATGGGCCAGCGTTCCATGGGCATCCATCGGTTGCCAGCGATTGCAGCGGATCTTCTTAATTGCACAGTGGCTGGCAATGCCACGCCGGGAATTGTGTCCGAAAAGAAGGCCATCGCCTTGGTGGACGGCCACAATGCTCCCGGTCCGGTGGTGGCCAACTTCTGCATGGATCTGGCCCTGCAAAAGGCCCGAGAGGTAGGAATCGGTTGGGTTTCGGCTCGCAGCTCAAATTGCATCGGTTTTGCTTCCTGGTACGCCTGTCAAGCTCTGGAACAGCGAATGATTGGTCTGTGCATGACCAACGGAGCTCCCACTCTGGTGCCTTCGGGCGGAGTTGAACCCATTCTCGGCGAAAATCCCATCGCCTGTGCTGCTGCCGGTGTAAACGAACAGTTTCTGGCTGATTTTGGCATGGCCGCCTGCTCGCTGGAGGAACTGGAGCTCTCCTATTGCAACGGCTGGTCGAGAGAAGTGCCGAAATTAGTGGCTTTGGACAGGAACGGAAAGGAGACCAACTCGACGGAGGAGGCTTTGAGGGCCCAGAGAATACGAGCCTTTCAGCCGGAGCACAAGGGTTTCGGTCTGGCTGCCATGGTGGATATTTTGTGCGGTGTGATGACAGGGGCTCGGTACGCAAATCAAATCCAGCGCCGCGGAGTCTATAGTACAGAAAACGGGCCAGCGGATCTGGGCCAAGTTTTTGTGGCCATCGATCCGATGCGCTTTTGTCCCTCTTTTGAGGACCGATTGGGCGATTTTCACCGGCTATTGAGACAGGCGATGCCCAGCAAGGTGGGAAGACCAGCGTTGGTGCCCGGTGACAAGGAGATGGAACACATGGCGATGGTCGACGAGCAGGGCGGACTAACAATGTCACAGTGCACCCTTTGTGTCCTGGAGGAACTCGCCACAAAGTTTGGCATTGCCCCTCTCAAGATGAAGGGCAAAAAACCAGAACTACAGATGCAATAATTCAATTCAAGTCCCTTTTGTAAGTCAACCGCTCGTCAAAATGTTTAACTTAATTAGCAAACAGCAAGGATATTATTTGATTTTTTTTTTTGATTATTTACCAATTAATAATAAAATAAAAAAATTCAAATGGTTAGTGAGATAGCACAGGATAAAAAAGTAGCTGATATTCATGCTTTTTATCCTGTGCTGTTTCACAATCCCTCAATATGTTTTATAATTTTATTCAAAAAGTAAACATTAATTATAGTTATATAAATTGTATATTGATATAATACACATCGGACAAACATGATGTAAGGCAATATACAAACAATATTCAACAAAAAACTAAGGGTTTAATTAAATTATAATTGGTTAAAAAAACTTGTTTTTATGCATAAAAATAATTGCAATACCTTATATAAATGCACACAACGGAATCCATCAACCATTTCAGAAAACTTATGTATATCAAAAAAAAATATAGAGTAATTTGAAGAAACTTTAGAAGGATACTCAATGATACAAAAAATTGACATTCTTCGTAGAAGTTCGTAAAGTTACATAAAATAACTCAAGCCCGGAATTCACAAAATTTAAATGCAAATTAAAGCACTGAGTCTGGTTTCCGTTGGGTAAAATAAAGGAAGCCAAAGTTCACGGCAAGAAATAGACAAAGTTCGCTCAGCAAATATTCACCTCTAATATAGCAACAAAAGGGGAAATTTTCAAGTGGCTTCCTGTCCGTAGACTAATTATGTAGCGCTAAAATATTCAAAAGTTCAAACCGAGCTCGTCTTTCTTCATCTGCCGGCGTTTATTTGCACACGGCAATAAAAACGGGAAAAATCTGCATAATTATTTGCGCTAATTTATGCACTCCCCGGAAAGCACACCTTGTTCTCTTCGTTGCCAAAAAGTGTGAGCCAACAGCTGGGCCAACTAAAAATAGCAAGTCAGGTATTTGCTGCTTAATTGTGTGCGTGTCTGTCATAGCAAAGTAAAGTATCCGCCGAATCGATAAGGAAGCCAAAAAAAACGGCCGAGAGCGAAGGAGAAATCGTCCCAATCATTGGCAGAATGATTAATATGATTTCCCTGCTCATCAGATTCTGGCCGTGGGGGCGTATGAGTAATAAGCTGAAACTTTTTATGACAGCCCCTCGGTGCCGGGGTAAATTATGGCCTCCACCAGCCAGCTCTTATGATGTGCGCATTGTCGTCGCCAGTCGATGGCCCTATTCTTATCCGCATTCCCGGTATCCTAAGAACGCAACACCTGCGTCTTATTGAGGTCCTGCGGCTGCTCCTGGCCCACGCACGTGACTGCGGCGTCCTTGTTGCGACTCGGATTTAGATTCATGACATTGTAATCGCTTATTACCGCTGCCAATCGCTAGTGAAAGTGGAAACCTGGAAACCCGACTGGGACAAGGCCCGAGGTTTATATATAGACGCTTGACGTCTCGGTTTTCACTTTGAACTCATTTATCTTCATTGAATTGGTTTTATTTTTGTTGACGCTGGGTAAATTAGGAGGCAACGTGATTGATCTAAGCAGGAAACCAAACTGCGCGCTGAACAAATTTTTGTGATGGGTAAATCATTCACTGATCTCCGAGGGCAAGTGGACACGATTATTTATTTCGGACACATCCTAGCTTTGCCAAATTGACAACTTAAGCTCATGGCAGTGCTGTTGTTCTTTCTGCTCGACTTACCTTGTTAAAGCCACTGATCTATATACACGCATCCATGTATATAACCGATGCTTTTATGACTATTGGCAGTTTTATTGTTTTCTCCGCTGGCGAAAATAATCCTCGACTCCGGCTCGGTCAAATGGGACAGTCGAAAGTCCTTTTGCTTTAAGCTCGCATATCCTTTTCTCCCCTTATTTGTTATTTCCTTTTTTATTTCATTTGTAGGTGTTCACACAATTGCACACGCACTCACTTATTGGTATATACTTTTGGGAAACCGTTCTGTTGATTTTTTATATATCCTGCACCGAAAAATATTTCATTTCATGTTTTAAAGCGATTTTCAATTGATTTTCACGGGGTAAAACTTTTATTGGCTTTGGTCGCCGTCGCTGCCTTCCGTTTTTATTAGATTCTTTTGTTGAAAATTGATTCGTTTGCTACATTTCGTTTGTTTTATTTCTTAGTTTGGAATTTATTAACGGGGGATTCACTTATGTTTGAAATTGACACTTTTTGTTCGTTTGGATAAAGTTCATTAAATATTCACTCATATTTCAATTTTGTTTTATATTTGCAAAGGTTAAATCTGTGAATTTATATTTTGTTGTCATATTGTTATGCTGACATGGTTTTTGCCCAAACTGTTGAAAAAATCAAATTTAACTCCCTGTTGAAATAACCCAATATGAATTGATTGGCATTTTTTCGTGTATTAACTGGCCTAGTTTATGACCAACAGTAAAACTATGTGTTAATCATGTAATACTTGTTGGCTCTTCACATTCTTTGATAAAAATGTATAAGGTAAATATTTAATTTCTGAGCAATAAACCTAGATAATAATGGTGGTAAATGGATTATTGGCAGTTTTTTTTTTATTATTTGCATGTTGATAAGCTCAAAAAATTAAAAACACAAAAAAAAAATACATTTCAACAATATTTGACATATGTCAGTTTTTTTTTTAATATTTAAGTGAGTAAACCAATTAATCTTCAAAATAAAAAAAAGTTACTTGGATTAACAAAATAACATGAATCAATCAATCGTACATAAGTGTATGTCGCAATGGTAGGTTTATTGGTTTATTGTGTAAAATATATAATGGAAAGATAAAACGTTTGACCAAAAATGAAATAATTTGAAATGAAGAGGGCGAATTAAAAGCAAATTGTTGACTAAATTGTCAACGAGAAGGAGTGTATAATTGGGGTCCTGGCCTTAGGTTGCGCAGACTTGAAACGCCAGCAATTGAAGCTTTTGATTGCCTGCTTTTAGGGGTTACGGTGTCGTTGGCGTTTGCGTTTGCAAGGCTTAATTATTCCATCCACGACGATTAAACTTACAAGAGCCTAATTGCATGCAAGTCGTGCTGCGACGGGGCAAATAAACCCCATGCAAAATGGTCTCCCAAAAAAACGCGAGCGTCAATGACCGTTAAGTGGAATGTGAGCAATGTGGCTAACGTTTTACGTTCCCAAAGTCCTTCTTTTCAGGGATTCTGCAAACGCTACTTGGTCGTCTGTCCTACGCAACAAAATAAGTGTGAGAGGAGAAAGAGCGTAAAATAAATAAAGATGAAGGAATGCCGCAAGGCAGCAGACAAAGAAGAAGATGACGCGGCTCCTTTACGGAATCTTAAGCCTTGGCATACATTTACATTTCACGCACACACACACACACACATAACAGAAGACGCAAATGTGTTTGTCGATTCGCTTTAATTTCGCATAGATAAAAGGACAACTTCTGCCTGAAACACATTTTCAATTGCTCACATTTACAGCTTGCGATGATACACTCACACAGCCGCAGTCCGGCACACCAATACACGCACACACACTACCTCGCACGCACGGCGAAGAGGAGAGCAAAAGGACTAAGTACCGCTGCCACGTGCAAGTTCGCGACGCCAGAAGGATTCAAGTTGTGACCACGACGCACGAGTGTATTCCAACGACTGAAGATGCCTTTCGTTGGCGGCCAGGCTTCATAGCTCCTCGGCAATGTGGGTTAAGCTCCAAAAGGAATCCGCTCTCTTCTCTCTCTCTGGGGAGCGAAAGAGCACCTGGAAGTGGAACGCATTCAAAGCTTGCTCTCTTAAACGCAATCAGCTGTTTGCTCCATCCCCTGCAGAAGCCGAAAAAAACCTGGGAAAAACCAAAACAACAATAGGGAATTAAGTCAATTTGGTGCCCGTTTCTCTTTTTGTATTCCTCTTCACCCCCATCCGCAATTCCCTCTCTTTTGTTTTTGCGCTTTGATTTCCCTTTTCTACGAATTTTATGCCGTCGTTATTACCGTAGTCACATGGCGACAGGCCCACTCAGCTTTTATTGGGGCAGGTAATGGTTCCTCAATGCCACTTCCTATTCGACGGATGACAGAGTTTTTTATTCCATACTTTAATGGCTTTTAGGGAGGAGTAACAACGGTACTAACACCGTGTACGTAGTAATAAACGATTTAAGAACGTACATAATGAATACGCTAGTAGAAAAATATAATTGTAATGTTACTTTTGTAAAAGAGGCAAAACTTTTTGTTGTTTTTAATGCTAAGCGCATCTCAACTTTTAAAAAATGATCACTACATTAATATTAAATGCATTCATGAAATCACCATTCAATTTAAAGTTATTTTATGCTGCACATGACTTACCTTGTTTTTTTTTAGTTTATCAATGATAGAACTTTTTCAAATAACCATTTCTTTAAGTGATTGAAAGCCTAAGCTCAGAAACTTTGTGATAAATTTTTCCCCATAAATCCAAGCGTCGGAAATCTCACACATGTCGACGGGCAGAACGCTAACAAGACAAGCCAGCTTACCAGCAGCAGATTCGCCAGCCACGACCTCCTTTGTCATCATCAAAAGTGCCGAGAAATCCGAAAACCACCCTGAGAGCAACAATGACAATTTCAATGAATGGCGACAAATCAGTTAGCTAAATGTTGCCGAGCCAAGCGTGCGTGCGATCTGACCGCAGTTCGTGTGATTCCATCATCGAAAATCCATACACAAGGCGAAGGACAACGAGTCCTGGACATAATTGAAAGCGAAAGGCGGCGGAGAGAGACCTGCGAAGGGGGCGATGAAAAACAAGTGGAAATAATTTTCCAGCATAAATCATGGCACGCCAAGTTATTACAGTAATTTCATGATAAATGTCCGATAAATAAATGTATAAATAAAAGTCTGTTTCGAGGCAGCAGACGCAGAAATGTCTAATGAAGTAGCAGCAGAAATCATGCTGAGTCGGCAGGGTACACACTGCGTATGCGTGATGCTTGATGTCTCATGTCTAATTGGATTAATGAAAGGTTATTGCCCGCACTCCCTGTAATTTTCGGCTGGTGTCTGTTTCACCCATTCAAAATTTTCCAAAATGACAATGGCTAATCAGCCAAAAGTTTATACATACAATGGTTTGCACACAAACATAAATCAAATTATTTTCTATTTAATTTTGGGATTTCTTGCGCTGACAAAAACCAAAAGCCGTGAGGCTTAGTTGCCAGCTCCAAAAATGTTGAGCCATGCCACCATGGACATCTGACATTACGAACAGCATGTATATATATATATATATAACTTTGATGTATATACATATTTACTAGCAAATAACAGCGTGTGTGTGGATTCGTTTAATTTATTGCCTTTCTATGCATAGCTTGTAACGCGCAATTTTGCCTTGAAATATTTTCATATTTCCGCGAAAGCGACAAAGTTGCCTGACGGAAATACATGTTGGGCATAGCGAAATGTCAAAAATTATTTTATGAGCTACTATAGAACGTCAGACAGCATCTCAAACACTTTGCGTTACGCAAATTCCAGACAGAGCGGCGTTAAACGGGCTTGTAACGAATTTAATTTTTAATTAATGCCATTAATAACAACAAGATGCGCTGGGAAAGGCATGTTTTAATGGGTTAAGAACGCAAAAAACGGTGACGGGCCGCGGCGATGGAGATTTTTAACGCGCAATTGAAGTTTACAGCCGTCCGAAAACCGAAAATGCGAAGCCTTGTCTGCCTTTCCGTTCGGTTGTCCTAGCGAGATGGAAACAACCGCAAAACAAAACTTTGCAATTTGTAGCCAGTACAAATTGGTAAATCCCCCTTTCGGCGGATGGAGAAGGAAGTCCAGACAATGTTCACTTAATGCGCGGCCACGGGCCGATCCGCACTTTAATTGTTGATTATACAAATTGTTTGATGCCCGTGGAGCCCATGGACGCGGCGGTCCGTTGCAAGGCCATAAAATATCCAAGTTGAAGAGTTTTAGTTTCCCACGACGGGCACGCACTAAAAACCACAAATGGTAGGCTGGCTGTTCGGCATGACGATGATGGGATGAGCTGGGGAATGAGTAGGTGAATCCCTCTGTGGATCCGACATTGGCAGCATGCTTGTTGTCATCCGAGCCGGCCACATAAAAGTGTAATTAAGTTCGCGTGTCGCACATTTAATTGTTTTTTAATGAATGAGGGAGCAAAAATCATTTTACAGCAGCTGCATTTCATAGGCATCCTGCGTGGTGGCACAAGGAGCAACATTCATTGGGGGCAGGACTCCCAGTATGATGCATTTTTCCAATGTTTTTTTATCTGCAGAGCAGGGCCTGCCTGGCAACCGTGCGAAAAATTGTGTTTTTTCGCCGCCAAAAATTTAATTATTTCCGTTTCTCTGATTTGTTTGAGGTCCAAATTGAAAAAAAATGGCGAACCATTTAAAAATGCCGTGAGCCCGAACAATTCTTATGGCAAACATTTCACATTCATTCGGTTGTCTTTCTGTTCACAAGTGAATTTAATTCGTTGTCAAAGGGTTGCGGACATGAAAGATTTAATCCAAAATGAACGGCCTCTGTTTGAATAAAATAAAGCCAAATAAGACTGTTGTTAAGTTCAATCATGTAAATGAAGTAAAACAAAAGGGCATTAATATTCAAGTTGGATCGCAATAGAGATACCCATTTAATTCAAATTTTAAATTGAGTTACCACCCTCACATCTCATAAGACTTTGTTTGGCATTAAATTTACGATTCAAGAAATGCAATAATGCATAAATAGAAAATATTTATCGAGAGCCATTTCCAAACTATTAAAAATTCTGTCGTAAATCAATAAAAATACACAGGCAAATGCGATTTATGCGATGCCAGCACTTGATGCTCGAATGTGTGTGTAATTCGCACAAAATATTTTATATGTAAATTGCTGAGAAAGACGAGAGTCGACCGTCGATTTCTGGCGACGCTAGGAAATATGCAAAGAGTATTCGCCATGGAAGAAATATTGCAAAAAGGGAGACGGAACAAAAAAAAGTAAAATAAAAAATCGAAATGGCAACCGGAGAAATGCCGACTGTCGGCGTGGGTTTCTCCTACTGCTTATTGGCGCACTTTGCTCCTTTTACGGTTGCATGAATTTTTGAGCAGCTTCACTTCCGGTTATAGTAGCCGGAAATTGCAACAGAAATACTTGCCACACACACCCCCGGAGCGAGGCATATGTACTCGCATGACATTTGTATGCAAATACTGAGTCGATGATTTTGCATATGTTTGTCCACGAAGTGCCACGGTGCGTATGCGTGATGTGCCAAGCGATGCTGCGCTGCGGCGCTGCTGCTCTGCTCGGCGCTTCCGCTTTATTTTTATTTCCCCAACAACATTCACCTGCATCGGCGTGCTTCCCCTGCATATTTTCCGTCTTAACCCTGGACAGACAGCTGAGTTTCCTCAGCCCTCGGGCCCAATGATGGCTGGCAGTATTTATGAGTCGCATAAAAATGGCAAATTTGTGGCAGTCATTGAGTTATTTTCAGGTGTGTCTCTCCGCCGTCTCACTGGGGAAGAATTCTCGCTGAGAAAATGGGGGTAAAACTACTATGGGGGAAGCATTTTGCAAGCTAAGTGAGTCGGATTTGCATATTTTATATGGCAAGGATGTGTAGAATTTCCTCCGAACGCTGAGAATTTCGTAGCATGTACATTTTTTCGACAGTTTACGATGCCAGCTGGAAAAGAGCACCGCTGTGAGTACACTTACGTGCAGAGTAATTGAAATATTTATTAACGTTTCACAAACTTTCTAAAATTCAAAATGTAAAAAAGCCATAAGTTTATTGGGAAAATAGTTTGAAGCTTTACTCTTTGTAAGTATGTAATGCATCTATAATATCTAATATTTAGTTGTAGGTTTAAACAAAGGTATTGTATTTTTAAACACACAACTTCCAAAGTATTCCTAAGCTTATTTTTAAAGAAACAAGAAAGTAAACAATTTATAATAATAGTTGTTAAAAGTTTAAACTCTTTGAAACGGAAACTGAATAGTTAGACAAAAACATTTAAATAGATATGCCTCGTTTGATATATACAACTTTCTTTATTGAACCGGAAGGGTTTGAGCTCCGCCAACTTAATAATTATGACAAAAGTTTTACCCGAAAGCGACAGGCTATAATTAAACTTTGGCCTCTTTATGGGGTAGCCGTCAAGTTAACCGCGATTAACACACAATCAGCTTAAACGTTCGACCCTTTGCAGCCGGCTCAAGCGTCCTCTCAGTCCTTCGATCCCATCCTGTCATCTTGCCGCCCAAGAAAGCCAGCTCCATGGGACAATGTGCTGAATATTCGCGCTTTATGCTCAAAAGAAATTGACATAATTTTAAAATATAAGAACGCGCCGCGAAAAGGGCGACAAAGATGCCAAAATAAAAAGGCAGCACAGCACAGGACAGGGCACTGGGCTAATAAGAGTCCTTCGCCACCAGGGACAAGAGCAAAAAAAAAAAAAAATGGCAACAAAAGTAATTGAAGTCGAGGGGGCGACATCGACTTTCGTTGGCGTTGGCATCGTCAGCATAAAAGTTTTATTAAATGATTAAGTTAAAGCATCGGCCGAGGACCCCAGAAAGTAGGCAACGAAATTTGTCAA